ATGGTTTCTCTGATGCTGACTGGGCTGGAAATAAGGATAATCGCAGATCAACAACAGGTTATGTATTCAAGTTCTTAGGAGGAGCAATTAGTTGGAAAAGTCGCCTTCAACCAACAGTTGCGCTATCTAGCACAGAGGCCGAATACCGAGCAACAACCGAAGCCGGGCAAGAGGCTACCTGGCTGCAAAACCTACTCATGTCTTTTGGTTTTGATATCACGCAACCTACTCGCCTTCATTGTGACAATCTTGGCGCCATCCACCTCACATCAAAGACCATCTTTCATGCTCGTACCAAACACATCGAGATACAATATCACTGGATTCGGGAGTTGGTAAAGCGTGGAACAGTGGAACTGCAACACTGTCAATCTCACAAAATGATCGCGGACATGCTCACTAAACCCTTGGGTAAGGCACCTTTCCAATGGTTAAGAAAATCTATTGGACTTCACCACCGTGAACCAACATCATAATATTCAATTCATTTTAATCATTTTTTCTCCTCTTCTTTCTTTCTTTTATATCTTTCTTGATTTTCATTCTATATTCTATTTCATTTAGTCTCCTGTTTAGTTTGTCGTGCTTGAGGGGGCGTGTTAGAATACAACCTACGTAGTCAAACCCGCCAAACTACTTACAACTCAATTAAGATCACATACTGAATTCAAAACTTAAATCTCAAACTTAAACTTAAACTCAAACCTAACCAATCCATGTATCACTTTTAAATACTCCCATTCATCCACGATCGTCACTTTCTCCTCATCAGTTCACTGAGGAACAAAGTGGCGTGTAAGTGGATTCATACTGATTTCTTCTTCAAATCCGAATAAACAATTATTGATCTATTTTTATATCTATCACTCTATTTTCTCTTCAGACCTTTGTTGTTTTCTCTCACCTCTGTTAGGTGTGATTATTTTTCGTCTTCGGTGTTCAGAACCGTTAAGACTAACGCCCGATTGCTGGCATTATAAGGTTAGAACATATCATCATATGAAATAATAATAATCAGTTCACTGAGGAACAAAGTGGCGTACCTTTGTTGTTTTCTCTCACCTCTGTTAGGTGTGATTATTTTTCGTCTTCGGTGTTCAGAACCGTTAAGACTAACGCCCGATTGCTGGCATTATAAGGTGTGATTATTTTTCGTCTTCGGTGTTCAGAACTGTTAAGACTAACGCCCGATTGCTGGCATTATAAGGTGTATCTCACCATTCCGGTGACTCGAGTTTCTTTAGTTCTTCGCAGTTCTTGAATAACCCTCCTTGTTATTTCATCGCCTCGTCACACGCTTGTAACAGATGGATCAAAAGTTTGTTGAGATGAAAAAAAAGGTGGTTGGAACACTTAATCAGAAAAAAAGCGCCATGAAGCAAAAAAAGAACCGTTTGAAAAAAGCGGCCCTGATTTTTAAAGGTCTTAAAACACAATTTTTAGGGCGTCTGTGAAAGCGCGGACAAGGAATTTATGGATCATACGACCTAAAAAAACAGTTCGGGAATTTGCGTCACGCAGGATCGCAACTCTCTAGTTGAACTGCCCTAATGGTGTTGTTGGTCAAAACTTAGATCAAAGCAGAGATTGAGCTTTCTTAGTCAAGAAAGGAGCCAAATATAAAAATCATTGAGCAACCAAAGATAACAAAAGTTGCTTTGGAAACATTTCCCATTACAATGAAGAGTTGAGAGTAAAGCAAATACAAGAGAAGAATTTACAAAGAAAAAATGAGGAAAACATTGGTACAAATGCAAGTCAAAAAGGAGGCAAATTGTGAAAGGATCAATGACCTAGGACCAAATGACAAAGAACAGGACTTTTCACATGTTAGTAACTTGAAACATTTTTATATTTAGATCATTGTTTAAACCATCTACACATTCACTTTTTAGAAAAACAAATTCTACAGCAAATACAAAACCCCAGCATCTCGCATTTAAATTGAAACTTTCTTCAAAACACACCTTGAAGTCTGATTTCCACTGCATCACTTTTTGGTTCTTTGACATTTGCTTTTGTTTTTTTCCTTATTGCTCAAAAATAATTATAATAGTTTGAACTTCATTTCACTGGAAGAACTCAACAGTTAATGGCTAGTCTAGAATTATTTAAAAACCTTCTCTTTGTTAAGAAGATCTCATTGTAAACACCCAGAGTAGAATTTCAACCAACCCTGAGGTAGGATTACTTGCTGTAGCCACCTGTAGAATACCCTGGATATATTAACTTCATCTGATGAGTACTAGGATCTTTTGATCTTTTGAAACTGGTGCTGCCATCTTTGTCTATATCCAAGATCAATAAAAACAGTCAGTAGCAAATATGAAGATTTGATTGGGCACAAATCACATACTGTTTTATTTTTTGGGGGGGATTGGGCTCTGAGTCACTCTCCCTGCTCCTGTTTACCTTGTTGTTTTTTGTTGTCCTTGTCTTGATCTCCAATTGGAGAATTGGTAGCAATTCTTCTGATGGACTCAGATCCAAATGGGATCAGATCTGCAATAAAAATAGTTTGATTTCTTGCTGAGGTCAAACAAATTACTGATCATACCATCTTGTCCATCTTTGTCTTCATCATCAGTTCCTGATGGATTTTGTTGCTTCTGCCTCTGAGTGCCAAACCCTTCATTACCATTAGCACACACTTTGTTTGCAGGGATGATTGCCAAAATGGCTTGATAACTAGGGAATCTGTTGTTCTTGATAGGTATTGTGTTGATGTTCCCAGACTAAAATAGTGAGGAAGATGGTGAGAAAATAAAGATGATAAGACCACCCACTATCATGAGGGTGATTTATTGTAGAGTTTGCGGTCCTGGGTACAAGATTTAAGCATGTGTTTCTACTAAAGTTGGTAACCACATTAAATCCACTATGGATTGATGTAACATCTGTTTACCAATGATAAATCACTGTGAATCAACCAGATCCACGGTGGTAAGATTTTGACATGAAATAACTTATTTCTCATAACTTTCATCCAAAAAAATATCTGTAAAATACCTGCTCAGAGTTCCTTGAAAAGACTGGTCAACAGCCTTTTGACGTCTTCAAACAACAATGAGGAACAACAAGAGTATGGCCAACTTGTCTTTGACTTCTTGTTTAATAAACTGCACTGTGAACCACCTCCACCTCCTCAGAATCACATCCAAGTAGACCAATACTGCACTCAATGTGCTCAGAAGCTATATTATGATGACTATTCCACACATAACACTAGATGTGAAGTAATTTTCAAAATTAGATTCCAGATGAGTAAAGAACTCTGCTTTGGAATAATTAAGTTATAATTACATGATTGATTTTGGATCATGAAATCCTTAGAAAGGAAGATTTTAATCCAGATGAATTCTTATTATCAAAAGGACATGCATCTTTGAATGAATGATTGAAGATTTCATCAGGTTAGGAATGGGATTGGGAGGAACAATTGAAAGAAGTATGATTCAAATCAAAACACCATTTGAAGATTGCAAAGAACACTTGAAGTTGAGCTTTGAAGTGCAAGCTTTGGAATTGAAGTTTTGAGGTTGCAGTTTTAAAGGTGCGGGTTTGAATAATGCAGTTGTTGACCAATTGGATGCATCAAGTCCTACAATAAATCAAGTGGTAGGCCGGCATACATTAACAAGCAGCTGCAAGACTTGACACAGTTGTATGGACCACAGGTCTAAAACAGGTCCATAGTTCCCCTGTCTGTATTTTAGCAATAAAGTTATGCTAAATCACCTGGTGACCACACCCATAGTGGCTGCTCTAAGGAAAAAGGAAATACATAAAATTCAAGATGAGGAGATAAAATCAAGAAAAGTGTTACTCAACCTTAATCCATTCATGTCATCAGTCTTTATCAGTGCTTACTATGCCCATTATGATCTTTACCCCAGGGGCTCCAGATGAGGCAGTAATCTTGTCGTGTGCCCTGTAAGTACTTTGAGCTAGGTTTGTAAGACTGGTAATGGCCAGGATAGTCAGCTGAGATGAAGTTAAGATTGAAGAGGGAGATGAAAGTACCGACCTTTTGGATGCGATTCTTTAACTGGTTCAATGGTTCATTGAGTTTGAATCTTTCGTTGTAATCAACAAATACTTGCTTCTACCCCACAGTCTTGAGTCCTCCATTGGGGCTGTGTCCAAGATTGACTTGATGGCAAAACTCGCCAATCAACCAAACAGTCCATTGCTGCTTCCATGTCCCACCACTTGTAATAATCTGTTCTTCTGAATAATTTTGCTCATTCTTATCATCTTCTTCATTCTTGTCATTCTTGTTCTTATCATTTGTCTTGCTCTTGTCATTTTTCTTCTTCTTTTCAACTGACTTCTTCTTTTGTTTTGATTTGTTTTGATTTCAGATTTCAATTTTTTGTTTTTATTGGTCGGAGCGGCTTTTGTCGAAGTCAATGGTTGATTAAAGGCTTCTTGATCGCTGCTACTGGTGTCTGGATTGTTGTCAAACATGGGGTACCATATGTACCCCATTAACACTTGTAATACTTTAAACAGCCAGCACGCGTCCTTTTCCCCACAGGGGTTTTTACCGGAGCGGAGCACAAGTAGTTACAGTGCCTGATAGCCTACGGCTCAGGAGGCACTATAAGCAATGCATTAAAAAAAAAAGGTCGACTAGGACGAGATGACAGAAGGGAATGGTAATCGAGATGGTCAATAACCGCAAAGCCGTATCATATGCAGTTGTAGAATCGTTGCACGGTTTCGGAGGTTTTGTGATGGGTTCTGATCGAATTGTCAAATTGGACTTTCCCAATTGATTATTATAAGCATTCTGTACAATTCTAGAGTGCTTGTAAATAACAATTCAAACGCATTTCACACTCTGTGATACTGTGATACCTACTCCGTGTGAAATGGCCGGTCTTAATTACTGATCAAAGTTCCTCGTTACTATTTATCCTTTCAAATCCAATTCTAATAGTCACTTCGGCATCCTTCATTGCTTTCAATTTGAATAACCAATTCTCTCCAACACCATGACTCAAGATCAACCTGCTAACTCAGACACCATTTATCTCAATCACATCATCTCGCAAATTCACTCTAATCTTTCCCTTCTCTTGTCTCAAGACAAGGTCTGTCCATCAATCAATTATCCATTGTTACCTTGAAGTTCACCATCAATCTTTGCTTTCTTAGATATCTAATACCGATGTCGCTTTCATCAAAGCTAAACTGCCGGCCCTAGCGTCGAACCAATCAGCCACTCAAGATGCTCGCACATCTATGCCTTCTATTCCAACAAGTCAATATCAACAGCCAGTTGCTATGCCCGTCAGTCAGCCAGCCCCTCCAACTCAACCGAACCCTCCGTCATCAAATCAAACAAACCCCACCGGTGGTCAGAAATCAAATGACAACTATAAGAGGGCCAAGGCTGTATGGACGTACTCAGGATCTGCTCCAGACGATTTGAGCTTCCAGAAGGGCGACATCATAGTCATTCTAGCTGAAGAGAACGCAGACTGGTGGAGAGGAGAGGTGATCGGAAGCCAACGCCCAGCCGGGTTATTTCCTAGTAATGTCCGCTCTATATATCCTTAAGACCATGTAGTCGGCGTCTCAGTCTTCTGAACTACAGTATTCGTCCTACAGCATGTTGATGTCATCCCATCATCCAACGAGCCAGCTGTTATGCAACCACCAGTCAACAATCAAACTTCTGCGCAGCCGTACAGTCAGTATCAACACAACCCACCTCCTACGCAATATGCCCCACCCATGACGTCAAATTATTCGAACGGGCACCCGCAACCTTCATACGCCCCAGCACCGCATTGGCAAGCTCCACCGTATCATCATGGTCAGTACCAAGGTGACATCAAAGCTCCTCCAATGTCAGGACACATGGCCCCCCCACCCCTACAACATACTCAAAGTGCTCCACCTACTCAAGTCGTGGTAGAGAAACCCAAGGTTAGCAATCTTGATCATACCTGAATAAGCACTCGACGCCCAAATCATTGACAAGGATGCTTTCTTGGATTAGAAAAAACCTTTCCAAGGAAGACTTGGTCAAGCCCTTGTGGGAGGAGCTGGTTTCGGAGCTGGCTCTGCTGTAGCTAGTCACGTCGGTATGTCACATTCATGCACTTCACCCTTCATTTGGACTTGCTGACACAGCTTTTTATTGCATCCTAGTGAACGCCATTCTTTGAGATTTCTATTTGGTCCAGCGTTTTCCTGTATCTTGTATCCTTTGCAATAATTAGTAACTCCATATTGTCTTTCTTTTCTAGAATTCCTTTGTATATGCGAATTTACAAGCTTGTTAATTGACATTCGCGTCGCTGAGGGTGCCCACGTCGCTGAGAATGCTTGATGTGGTGGTGATGTATGTTGACCGTTGAGAGATTCTCATCTCACTGCTCACCCTACATTCAAACCTTGAGGAATAAACCTAAAAGAGTCCCCTTCCGGAATCGATACCCACACTAGGTTCATGATGGTCATTAAGGTTTTTGACTGCTGTGCTAGGCACTCAGAGCAACGAAACAAAATTGCATACATGATGATGCATCTTCAGCTCACTATGAGACATGATAGAGTGAGGAAAGGCACTGAATGTCCAATCTTCTCGCTTTGGCACTCTCGTTAGCCCAACACGCACCGATCGGTGCACAATCCTGCCAAAACATCATTTACTTCGTTTGCACAGCTGCAAATGGACGCGTAAATCACTCTTTGAAAGAATGTCGTGCGTCTGCAACATCGCGTCTCATCTGTCACATTATAATTGCACTGTCTTGTCTCCTGAAGACGTCATCCCAAAACAGATTGCTCACTCTCCAAAATCACCTTTGCGTCGGTAGCTATTGGGGTATGCCTCAGTCTAGTATAGACATCATGACTTGTACTCGACTTTGCGGAACCTTGCAACATGCTCATGTAGTATTACAGAATACCAGGGACCGACTGCATCGCTTCTGCGTTTGTGGCTGGATATGATACTCACACACAAACTTTCAGTATCAAGTTCTGAGGGGTCACGAAAAATAGAGATGTTGTACGGTTTTGGGTAAATCACCCCAACTTAAGAGCGGATTTAACCTAATGACACGACAAGTAGACAGGATATGCATCGATCCACAAAAACAAATTGAACAAACTTGCACAAAACGAAATACAGACAATTTACAGAGCGATTTGAAGAGAGAGAAAAGAGCGTTTGTAAAAAAGACAGATTGCAATAAGGTACTGATAGACAAAAGAACGGCTAAAAGAGGAAAAAAAACCCAAAGAAATGAAAGCAGCAGTAAAAACACAAATCGGAGTCCTTTATCTATTTAAACTCTAAGAACGATAATACTCCGTCATATTGACTTGGGCGTAGAAATGATTCAGAAAATGTGAAACCGTTAAAGGACATCCTGCTATCGACTTGGTTCAATGCATGGTGTTTTGCCACCCTTGATCAGGAGTATCTAGGTTGTAACTCCTACCTTCGATGTCAGAACCCTCTTCATTCACGTAAGTTCCAGATGGACGTATGTTTTCATAAGACTCGTTCTCTCCGTATTGAGAAAGTGATGATTGCATGTTGGTCGAACGGTTAGGAGGCCCGTTGGCGGGCCCTGCGCTCATAGGGCCATCGGAAGATGTACCACGGTTTTCATAAGGTTGAGATAACACTAACGGTTCCAAGAAGCTCGCGGCGTTGGGGTGACCGGCGTTGCTGACGGCTGTGGTTGGTCTGAGAGCGCCCCCACTTGAAGGAATAGCTTGCCACTGCCCATGACCCAAGATAGAGTTATCAGGTGACTGACGATGAAACGGCGCTCCAGTGCTGATGTTGGGATAAGGAATTCCTGCTACACTCCCGTTGTTTAACGCAAATGATGTATTTCCTCTTCCCTGGATCGATGCAGATGTGAGCGATGGAGAAGGCTGGAACAAGCCTCGAGGGTTCGAAGGATTCCAATCAGACAAGACATCCGTTGATGATCCGACACTGCCACCATTTGGACCCATGTTAGAGCCGACGCTGTGATATTCTGAAGGTCGACTATGACCCCCCGTTTGCCACTGAACCCTAGGAGACGCATTGGAATTGTTGTTTGCTAGTCTTTGCATCGGAGAGTCGGAGCTTGCGCGTGCAGACTTGTCGGAAATGGACAAAGCTTGATTGGTAGAAGAAGGGTTTACGGACATTGAACTGTTTGATTGGGGTGACGAGGATAACGGATGTGAAAGACCATAAGAGGCTTGGGGGCGACGGTTTATCGACGAGTTCGTACCATAAGGATACATGGGCGCATGGGAAGAAGCCACATGATGAGTCGTTGGTGAGCCTCTAGGTCCCGTGTCAAGGGTTGAGATGAGTGATCCTTGCATGTTTTGGGGTCCAGATCCATAAGCACCCGTCATACCTGAGGGCGCACCAGGCATGAGTGCACCATAACGCTGTAAGAGATATACACATCATACGTAAGCATAAATGCGCTGCATGTCCATAAGCGGAACAGCAAAATGGGGCTTACTAAACAGTTTTGAATGTAGGTTTCGCCAGCAGACTCGGTGACCATGGGCTGGAGCTTGGCTAGAGCAAAGAACGATTCAAAGGGTTGGTAATGTTCAAGATGATGTGTGTTCAAGCGCTACGTACGTGTTGCAAAAGTATACGCTTTGTGATCACTATCTTTAGGTGCCACAATCAGCATCACTTCACATCCTGTCAGGACCGATATCTCATTCGCCTGTTTGTTTAACAAGGTGCACGGAAGGCGAGTAGTGTTAACAAATGCGTAGACAGAAACTATCACGAAGAAGCATGAAGATAAACAAGATTGACCTTTTTAAAAATACCGTTCTTGCGCTTGCCAAAGGTTATATTCCTTCTGCTCTTGTCTTGGATGTACTCAATCTTGATTTGACGTCGCGGCTGGGTTGATTTGCTTCTTCCTTTACGCCGTTTAGAGCCAGAACCATTTACTTCGCCGTCTTCGTCATCTGACTCGGTGGAAAGCTCAGCCAGTTCCTCGGCAGTCTGTGGTACAAGGGTGCCTCCGAGATCGGAAGCGGTGAGCGCCGGTGTAGATTCTTGTTCAACCGACGGTTGAACGGAATTGCTAGGAAGCGGCTTTTTCGTGCGAGAAGAAGATGAGTTGAGAGTACCTGATGCGGAGTCCATTATACCAAATAGGCGATTGTGCGATTGAAAGTTACTTGAAAATTATACGAAAGAAGTGGACAAAAGACCCGGTTGGGTTTGGTTGCAATCTGTCAATGTCAAGTAATTCTTCAAACCTCCTTTCAGAAGTATGAAAGAGTATGAATCCTTGTTCAAATCAAATAAGTGATGTTTATGAAGAGGACGCTTCCGGAAAGAAACAAATAGAAAACAGAAACAGGGACGACAGTTCAAGAGTAAAAGACGTGTGGCTGTGCGTTTAGATAGTTCCGACTCGAGATACGACACCAGGAAGCGCGCCAATGTATTTGAATTGGCTATATCCAGGTTTGGATTATGAATGCAGAGAGGGGCACTGATGTCGAGGAAGTAAAACGGAATGAGAGATGCGGACAAATGCAGAGACTAATCAGCCCAGTTAATCGGAATGGGAACACATGAGGTCGATTTGAGGTGGGTTTGATTGAATTGTTTCCTCAGTCTCAAGTTGTGAGCCGCGGCTCACCGCGACGAACTCCAGCACAGAGGGAAGCACATGCGAACAATTACTAGGTAACTCGTACCCCGCCAGCCACCATCCGGTATAGCTGGAAGGGACTATCCCGAAAGGGAACGCCTTTGGACTTGCGACACACCAGTTAGTCTCCAAAAGGCCATACACTAAAGTTGATTGTCTCATGGATTCCCAAAAAACTCATCGCGAGGAAATACTAGCGTTCACGACTCGTCGAAAGGAGCGAATCCTGAGAATTGATACTCAGACCCCTTGTTTACGGCCACTGCTAAGACCCTGGCGAATTTCTATTCACCTTCTCGTCAGTCTTGCTCTTCTCATACATTCAGCAAAGGGAGCACGACGAGAACGGGTATCCGCTCTTGATGACCTGCGATACTTTGAATGTACGAAGGTGTCCGTTCCAACACGTCGCTTGAGACCCAATGATCCACACTACAGCTCGTAAATTCATTGTGATAGATCGTTGCTCGACTGCCTTCAGACAGGGACCAATAAAAAAGTCACTCCTGTCTAATCAAACGAAAGGGCCGCAGGCCGACGCTGTGGTGTGAGGTCCGGTGGCTTAAGCACACTTCGCCTTCGAAGTTGGTCAGCTCAATACAGCTTGACCATATAGGCTATGATGGCCAGTGCGAAAACTTATATGAGTTAATACAGTGGAGTAATATAGACTTCTCCCTCAAACTCGAGTGGTGGAGGCCTGGGCATGAAGGGAAGCGATGGTCACAAGCTGTGACGTGTTACTGGCTAGCGAGACCTAGTGAGACAACTACATGAGGCTGCGACAACTGTTTGCAGTATATGATGTACGATGGAGTGGAAGACTAACCCCGAAACCTGAAGAGTGGATTTCAATTTTCCGCTCATCCATCCTCACGCGCTCACTATGAAGACCATAAAAACTATCCATAAAAGGTTCCAGGCAACTTCCAAATGGTGATTTGGTTCATCAACCCTCATCAACCGCATCAACGTCAGAAGTAAGTTTTCAAATCTTCACACACAAGCTGAATTTGAGATTATAAGCGTAGTACCAATTGTTAATTTGTTGTTGCCTTTCAATCTGAAAACTTTTGCTGTCAAATCATGATACAGTTGTTTCAAGAAAAAATGTTGTTCTCCTTGTTTTTTTTTGTATTAATTATTTCAAAGGTGCACTAAAAATTAATGATGTAGACTCTACATAAGAGCTGTAATCAACTTTGTCAAGGGTGCAAAGGCCAAAGATCACAATCATTGCTTCCTTTGAGTCCGCAATGCACAACCTTGGTGCCTTTTCAAGGATCAAGGTTACAGTCAAGCTAGATTAGCTTGGCCAGTTGAGAATTTATTTTTTTATTTTTACACGTATACAGGTAAACATATAAGCATAGCCTTCAAACACGGCAGGCTGTTTAGCCTTCCGCGTCAGTCTGCCACTCATTCACCCACCACCACATCCTTCCTCACATTGTTCTCAATCACTTTCACATATCCCGTCGATTCTCTTCTGCGACGGGGTTTGTCTTGTACAGTGCCCAAGTCAAGATCATTACACTGACCAAATTTTGATCTGGACAATCCATCAAATCCATCAACACTGAACTCTTCACTGCAATATCAAAAGGATTTCACTATTTAACGCCCGCAAAAAAAAAACCCGAAGCCCCTTTTTGAAAATGACAGGGGGCTGTACGTTTTCCACAGCCCCTTTGCAAAACTTTTTCAAACTTTTTCAAAACTTTTTCAAACTTTTTGAAACCTCTGTTTGAACTTTCCGAGTTCGAGTTCGACTTCGTTCAAACTTTTTGTGATTTTGTGTTGTGCGTGTGCGTGTGTAAATATCTCACTTTGTATGTTTTCATGTATGTAATTTCAAACTGACAGCCAGAACAAAGAGAAATCAGAGAACACTAGACTAAGATAAGTGAGAGTGACCGATTTCCAACAGCTAGTTATGTTATGTATTACTCCATGTATGAGTAAGCAGAGAGAGCAGAAAAAGAGGGAAAACAAGAGGGAAAACAATGTATTACTTCATGTATGTAGCGAGCAGAGAACATATAGAAAGAGAAACAGGGAAAACAAGAGGGAACAACAAAGGTATCGATTTCATTCAAAGCGGGGGAAGGAAATCATCATATTGTCAGAGATTCGACCCACTTATTCAGCTGTGGTTGGTGTTTGCTAATCCACTGAGGTATCTCGGTGGTTTCGAGCATAGCTGAATTCTTGGGGTAGCCATACACTTCCGGGAAAGGAACCGATTTAACAGCCGTGATGCCCAGACTAACAAAGTGTTCGCCATTTACAAAGGCAATCACAATAGGTAGTGGATCGTTATCGTTAGGAGGCGTGCAATAAGGAAAGAAGGTGTAGCAGTTGATGGTTTTAGGGTTCAAAAGTATCACTGGGCGCTCATAAGTGCTTGCAATTACGTAACCCATGAGTGGCATTCGTAACCAGTACTCTTGGGTGCATTCAGCTTCTTGATTATCCAGCCGGACAAGTAGGTCATCCACTACTTCATCAGCAAAAGTTTTGGTCCGGCGAGTTTTGATTGAAGGGGTCGAAATCAGCTGTCTGTGAATATCTTGATTACTCGAGAGTTCTTTCAATAACTGATTCCGAACCGTGAGATAACTTTTTTTCATAGGTAAACCCAGGGATGAGGCTATAGCATCATATCCGCAATTCCCAAAAGACAGTGGATTGAAGATTGAACATATGTATGGAACAGTAAACAGCGGTAGCTGCTTTAAGATGCTCTGCTCAAAGGTACGCTGGAGAGTATGTAAGCCAATTGATTGTGATTGGTGAACGTCTGATGTTGGTAGGTCTTCTGAGTTTGAAGGTTTGGCAGATGTTCCAAACGAGTTGTCTTCCAGTGGAAACACCACAACGCCAAACTCGCGACTAGCTTCCAAAGTGGCCTTGACGTTGGTGTCCTTTCGATCCAATTTCATATCTTCGGCAATCAAGCATAAACTGAGTTCGGGTATAAGGACACGTTGGATCAAGTAGTCAACTGAGAGAGGCTCCAGTAGTTGCACCTTGAGCAAAGGTTCGGGTTCGGAAGTCTTAATGAGCTGATTAAGGGAGCTGGTGATTATTTCGAGGCCCTTATAGCCATAACTGGACAAAAGAGCAATCCATTTAGTCTTTCTAAAGTTTCAATTAGATAAGATGTGAAAACTGCTTACTACCCCGGTTGCTCGACGTGAAATCCATCAAACTGCTTTGCAAAACTCAAGGATCGATTGCCGTGCAGGGCCCACTGCTTCTTGGCCTCTTCCAGGTAGGAAGAGGCTTCTTCACCCTTGATGATTTCACTTAAAATGCCCAGAAACTTCTTGATTCGACTGGTGAAGTGTCATAAAGAGTCAGGTAAGAAAGACTTTTATTACTGATTGTGTAAACACTTACTTATGTAAACCATCAAAATCGATTTCGGTCGGCCAACCCTTGCTTATGCCAGAAGGTATAAGCTCACGCTCAGCCTCATGGAGATGGCAGAATTCAGCGTATTGGCCAAACTGGAACCAAAACAAGAGTCTACACATGTCAGATCAAATTGTAGTATTATAAAGGTGTAAAATATAAGATCAAAGACATACATGAAGCGACTTGACATTGGCCATAGCCATCAGTTGTTCTTTCATATGTAGAAGACGTTTAGATGGCTCTTTCGGAAGCGGATCATCACAGAATGGACACAGAGATAGATTGTGATTGATGGACAATTGGGAAACTTGACTAGCATCCGAATCGGTATCAGAAGAACCTGAGTGATTTGATTCGGAATATGATTCTGAAGTAGTATCAGTTTGAGTTTCATTTGTCAACACCGGATTGTTGACTTTGATGACTGAAAGATTGAGCTGAATATCGGCCTGATCGGTCTTTACATCCACAGCCAATCGATTCGGACAGGTGTTTATTTGGTGACCGGGAGTTTTGCAATGGCTGCATTTCTTCACCCGCACCACATTAGCAGGCCTTTTAACATTTGTAGACGCCTTGGTAGCGAGTTTTTTAGCCTCCTTAGCCGCCTCCTTACCCTTTTGGGTTTCTTCGGCCTCAAAATCTGAAATCCATCGGCCCTGCTGACCCACGTGCAACTTTTGGGTTTTGTGTTTCGGTTTCTCAGTAGATGGAGAGGTTTGAGACATTTCAACTTTTCGTTTCTGGCTGTTGGAAGGTCGGCCACGATTATTAACTTTGACTTCGGCCGATAAGATGGGTACAAGAGAGTATCTTCCAGTTTCCAATCGGGAAATGTCTTCATACAATCTTTGGAGAGTGTGTTCAGGTAGCTCTGAAAGTAAAGCAAATTTGGATTGAGCGGCCACCTTAAGCGCGTTGTGAGTTTCGGGTGCGATGTCCATGGCGAGTTTCCACTGGTCATGACAGAGATTTGGCGATAAGTAGTCAGTTTCGTCTCTAGCCTTTCCGATATCGTGAGAGCACGGAAGCCCCCAAGCCCCACGAAAGGTTCCTGTAC